CAGAAGAAGATAAAAAAATGTTAGGATTGATTGGTGAACTTGGATTGGGAGATTGGCCTTTAATAGCAGAGTATATGATAACAAGAAATAGTAAACAATGTAAAGAAAGATACTATAATCAATTAGATCCAAAATTAAAGAAAACACCACTCACAAAAAAAGAGAAAGGACTGATCATAAAACTACAAAAGAAACACGGAAGCAAATGGAAAATTATAGCAGCAGAATTAAAAAACAGATCAGAAAGTATTATTAAGAATTATTTATTTGCTTATAAGAAAGCAAATAAATAATAAATAAAATACTATATTCAAAAATTTAGAATTTTTAACAATCAAAAATAAACTTACTAAATAATTAAGATCAATTTATTTAATTATAACTTTCAGAATCATTAAACTCTTTTTCTTTTGAAGATAAACTTCTTTTAATATTAAAATCACTATCATTACTTTCATAATTTTCAGTGAGATCTTTTGAACAATTAAATTTATCTAATTCATCTTCTAAACAATCAATTTTAAATGTAAGTTCTCTATTTGTATCCATTAATTTATCATTCTCTCTTAATAACTTTATAAATTCTTCCTTGGTGTCTGCAAACACCTGATTTTCTTTTCCCTCTAAAATTGTTTGACACTGCATCAAGTCGTATTTTAAATTTGGATCATTGGAATCTTTTAATATATTTTCAATGTATGCTATAACCTTATCTCTGTCGTCCATATCGCCTTTTTTCTTAAAATCACCTTCTTTGATTATTTTTCTGTTTGTTTTGTCTTTTAGAGGTCGTGACATTTAAATTGTAAGGCTTAAATAAAATTTTTTAATAAATGTTCCCTCCAAAAATTATTAAATTTTTTATTCACAATTTTTCTTTCGGAAAAAGTATTTCTATTGCTGTCTTTAATTTTTGAAAATCTTCTTTAGAGTCTGTGTGTAATTCTAATATCCTTTCATAGTTAACTAAATTTAAACTTATTGTGTTTGTTTCACTAATTGTAGGTTTTGCTTCATTTATATTGATTATTCCTGTAGATTTCTTAGATTTATAATTAAATAGGTAAATTGTATAGCCAAATATACGTACATATGACTTTTTCCACTTGATTATGTCATAGTCATTTAAATCACCTTTTACGTTTAAATGACCACTAAAAAGTTTTGAATAAGCATACTTACGTGCTTTTAACCACTTCCCTAAAGAAAACAGGTTATTTGGATTTGGAACATTAATTGTTGGCACTTCCTCATTTGATAGATAAGAACAGAAAATAGTCATATTCTTTGACATTCTATTTGGCCCACACAGCACATAATCCATAAAGTTATGATTCTTTCTTATTACATCAGTTTTAATTTCTATTAAATTATTTCTTATTGTGTCAATTACTGTTCTGTTTATTCTAATTCCTGCTTGTCCAAATATACTTTCTTTTCCATTTCTATGTCTTAATATTGTGATTTTAAGTTTTAATGACTCGTTATTTATAAATTCTATTGGAATCTTAAAGTAATATGAAAAGTTGTTACATTTTGATTCTCTTATTAAGGATGTTGCATGTTGAACTTTCTTATTATCTTTTGTAAAATTATTTTTATACTCAATTTTTAGTGATAAAAAGTCATTTATATTACTACTTGGAAAGTGGTTATAAAGATGTGATATTTACATATGAATATTACCAGGATACTTATTAAAGTGAATTGGTCTAAACTTTTCTTCAATGTTTATTGATTTGGGTTCTTCATGTTTAATATTAAAATTAAAATCTTCTGGTAATTTAGGAAATTCTATTTTTAAATCTATTTTAGGTGTCTCTTCTTCATTTACAACTTCTTCTTTGTTTGCTAGATTAATACACTTATTATATAATTCTTTTGTGTTCTTTACATTGATTAATGAATTGAA